GGACTTGGGACGGGATGGTGTGGATTGCAGCGCCGTTGATGCATCTTGGGTGTACTCTGGTCCTCCTCCTCCTCCTCCTCTCCTCCTGGGGGCAAGGCGAATTGAGATAACGGCGGGTCTCCCGCCTAACCTGAATCCGCCGACAATCGGTCCCCAGCCCCCTTCTGGGGTCCACTCTGACCCGTTTCTTGAGGTGGATCCAGCAGTGGCGACGAGAAGCCTCCAAGAGAGCGAGAAGAAAACGTGAAGCGCCAAGGAGGGCCGCCGTTGTCTCGACGAGCCTTCTTCCGATCCCCCTCCCCCTCCTCCTCCGCCCTGCGCGCCTCTCCGCCTTCCGGCAGAAGCCCCTGTTGAACTGCCAGCAGAGGTCAGACTTGTAGCCGAGGTTCAGCATTTGCCTCGAGCTCCTCATGCCGCCGTCGCCCTGGCTGGCCAGGCGGGGGGGGGCGGAAGGGGAGGAGGAAGGAAACCGAGGGGACGTGGGGGCAGGTGTGGAGGGAGGGGGGCAATGATGTGCGGTCGTTGCAATTTTTCACTGGGCATTTTCGCTCGGTTTCGAGGCCCAGGGCCATCTGGCTCGAAAATATACCATGACAGGATGGGGTCCAGGGCTCCCGTCGTGATTCCTCGCGATGTTGCACTTTTTCTGCAACGTCGGATCCCTGGGGAGGAGCAGGAGGGGAGGGGAGAACATGAGGTAGGCGGCGGATGAGGGAAGCGCTCCAAAAATCACACTGGCCCCGCCCCGTCGGCAGGCAGGCCTTGCCCCGGCCGTCGCCCCTGCCGCGGCAGTCGCCCCTGCCGCGGCCGTCGCCCCGGCCCCTGCCGTCGCCCTTGCCGCGGCCGTCGCCCTTGCCTGGGGAGCCGAGGGAGGATGGGCCTCCTCCTCCTCCTCCTCCTCCTCCTCCTCCTCCTCCTGCTCCTTCTCCTCCTGCTCCTGCTCCTCCTCCTCCTCCTCCTCCTCTTGCTCCTCCTCCTCCTCCTCCTCCTCCTCCTCCCTGGCGACGGCGAGTGCATCGCCGATCTCACGGAGGAGAACAGCGCCAACAGCATCATCGGCGGCGGGGACTTCGCGACTCCAATGAACAGCGTCGTCGAGTGCATCGACGAGCCCACGGAGAAGGTCGGCGACCCTCTTGCGAGCCAGGGCCACGGCGAAGATGTGGACGACGTTGAAATCATCGGCATGAACGGCGAGGAAGATCTTGCCGAGGGCACTTCTGATGACAAGAAAATGCAGTGGTTCTGTGGCACCTGCGACGGCGGCGAGCGCATCGCCGATCCCACCGTGAATAGCGGCGCCGACTACATCATCAGTGGCGGGGCGTCGTGGCTCTTGTGAACAGCGTCGACGTGTGCGTTGACGGGCTCACGGAAACGGACGTCGAAGGCATCCACAGGCCGAAGGTGGGGAGGCCGCGCGGGGGGGGGGAGGGGGGCGGTGGCCTGACATCGAGGGCGGTGGCCTGACATCGAGGGCGGTGGCCTGACATCGACGCCGAGACTGTGCTGGCCCCGCTCGCGGAGGTCCCCGCCTTCTGGAAAACCTGGCTCCGAGCGGCCTGATCGAGGAGTGCACCGTGGGCACGAGCCTGAAGCAGACGATGGTGCCCGAGGGCGATGGCGGCACGGCCGACCCACGCTCTGCTCAGGATGCCGGCGTGGAGGAAGCGCCGAACAGCAGGGATGCCGACGAGCTCGTGGGGCAGCGGGCCGAGGCCAAGGCTGCGGCCACGAGGCTCGGGTCGCGCGAGTGACTCGGACTTGGAGGCCGCTGGGGGGTCTGAACTGGTTGGGACCCGAGGGGAGATGGGGCCACATCCCATCAAAATCGGTCCCCAGACCCCTCCCGGGATCCACCTGGCGCACTTTTCACCCCGGATTCTTCTTGGACGGTCCGGGGGCCCGAAGACTGCCCCGGGACGCCGGAAGGAGCAGAAAGCCTTCCCGGACCCAGAACCTCGAACCTGCCCGCCCTTGACCCCCAGACGGGTCCAAATTCGCACGGCGACCAATTAGTCAGGTTGGGCATGTCCTCCTACAGGCGGACTTTGGAAGAAGGAAAACACATAGCCCAAAAATAATCCAAATAATCAACAGAACAAGAAAATCGTCACCAGACAATTTTTGCTACTGTTCTTGAATATTCCTCCTGTAGATGGACATGCCCGACTTAAACCTAGAGGTGCGTTTGGCCGAACGAAGGCACAGGACGCGTCCCCGCCTCGCCTGCGTGGCAGCACCGGGCGCACGGGTTCTCGTCGATGCTCGCCTGGACGACGTTCAAGAGCTGGTGGAACGTGGCCATGGCGAGGTCTTTCACGGGAGGCTATGTGCGCATCGCCGAGCTCATGACGAAGCTTGTGAAGAAGGATCGGGCCTGCGATACATGTTGTCCGTTGGCTTCGGCTCTCGGCAGGGTGACTCGCAAGGCCGCGCCGCGTGGACGGCAGAACTTAGAATCCTTCCTCAGATTCCTGCTCCTCCTTCTCAACCTTCTGCACATCCTCCCTCCCCCTCCTCTTTCTCCTCCTCCTCCTCCTCCTCCTCCTCCCCTTCCTTCTCCTCGTCCTCCTCCTCCTCCTCCTCCTCCTCCTCCTCCTGCTCATCCTCCTCCTGCTCCTCCTCCTGCTCCTCCTCCTCCTCCTTCTCCTCCTCCTTCTCCTCCTCCTCCTCCTCCTCCCATGCTCCTGCGCCTCCTCCTTGCTCCTCTCCGCCTCATTTCTTCTCCTCCGCCCCCCGCCGCCCCCATGGGAGGAGGACAACTGAGGGAATGACGGACTGGAGCGTTGGAAGAGCGATGGACTTACGACAGCGGTGCTAGTTTTAAGGGTACGCTCGTCAGAAGTCGACGCGCATCGTGGATCCGACGTGCCGAGCCTCGCATGCTAGACGCGGTACGGGACCAACCGCGCAGATGCAACCCTTGATCTGGCAACGACCTCGTAAAGAGCAGCCAGGGGATTCACATACGGCAGTTTCACACTCCCCCCAACGCTGTTGGGTGGTCGCTCTGACCCAATGGCTGGGCGACCAACCTGCCAACCGAAATGACGCTGCCGTCCCTCGCGGCCCTGCCGGTGAAGGACTTCGGTTCGCCGTGTTGTCCAAGGGCCTTCAGATGAGAAACCTCCTGCTGAAATCGGTGCCGAGCTGAAAGTTGAACGTTCTTTCTTGTGCTGATGGGGAACCTGCTCACGGCACGGCAATTGGGGGACTGCACCGGCCACCTGTTCGCTGTGCTTCCCATCCCCTTGCTGCTCCTGAACATCTCTCGAAGCACATCGGCAACGCGAGCTGATAGCACTCTGCCTCCAGAGGGCGGCTCAGGAAACGGCTGTGCCTCCTCGGGGCCCTTGGGCTGCTGGTGCACTTCCGCGTGCCCTGCTGCTCCTCTTGGGCGAGAGCCCTAATCACACCAGCCCTCCAGGGCGTAGGTGGTTTAGGAAACTTCCTCTCCCAACTCCTTTCTTCCCCTTCGGGGAGGGGCTTGCCCCTCCCCCCATGCCCCCCCCTCCCCTGGTCCTGGACGGGTGGGGCCGCGAGGGGCTGGAGCTTCATGGTGCCCCCCCCATCAATTGCCCTCCTCCGCCTTCCCGTGGTCCTTCTGTTGCTCCCAATCCTTCCTCTCCAATTACTGCTGCTGTTCGTCTCGCCCCAGCGCGGGCTAATTTTCTGATTCCGAATATTTCTTCATCGTTGTCGCCCCTCTCCTCTCCCCTCTTCCGCCTTCCCCTGGTCCTCTTTTCCCTCCCAATCCTTCCGCATTGCTTCCCGCTGCTGCTGTTCGTCCTGGTCCTCTTCCTCCCGCTCATCGTCTTGCTCACCCGCCACCTCCTCCTCCTGTGCACGCAGCTCCTGTTATTCCGATAACGCATAACACGAAGTGGTCTCTCTGTTTGAGTCGCAGGTCGGCTATGACGCGCGTCCGCGGGTTGAGCAACCTCATCACCATGGGAAGGAACAGGGGGGAATGCGAGGACTGCGGGCATCAAAGACAGCAGAAATCTTAGGGGAGAAGATTACGGAGCAGCGTGTCTCCCTCCCCGCGGCAGTCCTGGGCGGCCTTCGGGAACAGGCGGGCAAACACAACATCGCGAGCATGCTTGAGGGGTCCCCATGGGTGGGGGTACGGACCTTCAGAGATCCGCTTCGGATTCTCTGGGGGCGGGAAAGCACCATCCGACTAGCCACCCAAGGTCACGGGTAGCAGTCTTGCCGCAAACAATGCAGAAGGTGAGGCCGCACCCGCCCCCCCTGACCTCGCTCCACCCCCCTGACAGCAGGTGCCTGAACTCATGGGGAAAGGCAGCTGGCCGGAGATCCTGTCCGCGCGCTGGGCTTCGGAGCCGCGGCGCCCGGACGGCGAAGAGCGGGGGCGGTCGCGTGCCCTCGCGCTCGATCTGGCCGTGGAGCGAGGCCAGCTCCTTGCGAGCTGGGGCAGGTAGGCGCTGGACCTAGGCCCCGTGGCGTCGATGCCCTTCGCCTTCTCGGCGCCGAAGTGGCCCGCGACCTTGTCGATCTGGTCGACGGCGATGGGCTCGGCGCCCTCCGTTTCGGCCCTCTGCTGAACCATCTGGAGGCCGCGGGGGATAGCGGCCTGGCTCCCGCGAAGGTCCGCCCGCGCCTTGCCCCGAGCATCAGCGCGTCGGTCCATGATGGGTTTGGTGTGGCGTAGGTGTTGTCCTCGCCGCCAACGCGCTCGTCGCGGACGTGCGCGGCGGGTTTGACATGGCGATGTAGCGCGCCGAGTGAGTCTCGCCACATCTTGGGCGGTAGCAGCAATGCAAGCGGGCCCCGCCCTGGGGGCGGGTCGGGAGAGGCCGGGGGGGGAGGGGGGGTCGCAGTTGCGGCGCGGTTGTTCCGGTGCTAGCAGCCGCTGTCGTGGGCGGAAACGGACGCGGCCGCGCCGCGCGGCCTGGTGCTTGGAGGAGGGGCCCTTGAGGGGGCCCCTGGGCCGCCTCCCGTCGACGATGCCTTCGTCGCCCTCGGGGCAGACGCAGTCCTCCAGGTCGTCCATCGGGTCGACGTCCTCGTCGTGGGGAATGGTTCTCCTGGCGCCTGATTTCGACGCGAAATGGCAACCAGTCTGGAAGGGGGAGGAGCTTTGCCTGGCCCTTGCTGAAGGAAAAAGCTGGCGCCGTGATGTGCGCGTTCCGCATTGCCCGTCGTGTCCAATTCAAGGCCTCGAGCGCGTTGCCAGATGTCCCGGGGGTGCTGAAGCCGATGGTGGGGGCCGCGGGCCCGTGGTCGTCGTCGCGGTGGAGCTCGTCGCAGGCGTCCTGCAACGGTTGGTCCGGCTCGGCTCTCCGTCGCTGACGAGACGCGGGGGCTCTCTGGACCTTGCTGTCTGGGTCCGCCTGCTCTTTGGGGCGCGCGACAGCCGGTTGCTCGTGCGGGGCGCGGATGGCGCGACTCTGCCAATTGCCTTCTCCGCCGCGAGCCGACGAAGTGCGGCCGACGTGGGTCGTCCAAGGGGCCTCCGCGACCGCCTCCAGCTTGGCCGAGTCGCGCCGGTCATTTCGCACGATGCCGTAATCGATGGGAGTGCCGCGGCCGAGATTGCAGGCGGCGCCCGCGCTCATCGGCAGGATGAGCGAGCCTTCAAATTTCTCCAGCCAATGGTTTCCCTGCCGATCGTCGGGCCGGTTGTTCCAGTCGCCGAGGGCGGTCCACGGATCGGCGATCATGCGGGGGAAGGAGGCCGCTCGAGCGAGCATGCGCTCGTTGGGACCTCTGAAACCGAACTCGGGCTGCAGGCGGGCTGCCACCGCCGCGAGATTGTCGCGCATGGTGTGCCAAGTCGTCGGGCAGAACCACTCGCGCGGGTCCTGGTTGGACTTGAGCTTTCCCTCGTGTGCCTTCCAGCCCTCCAAGGGCGGCGAGCGTCTTGTTGCGCGGCTGGGTTGCGTCGCCGCCTATGATGCCCGTCTGCGAGCGACCCGCGGGCGTCCAGGGCGCGGCCGTCGTCTTCAAGCCGTCCTTGGACACGTTGGCAATCATATGCTTGAGACGCTCCCAGCGGAGCTGGGCCTCGGCGAAGCCGTGCACGTCGCGCTGCTCACCCTGGGCCCTCGTGGAACTCTTCGCGCGCGGGCCCCGATCAAAGATGTTGGCGAAGGAGAGTCGGTCACCCAAGCTAGGGGCTAGGGGCCTGATGCGCGCCCGCCGTCTCGGCCACCAGCCCTGCCTCTGCCGCCGGTAGGAGCTGCGGCCGAGGCCGGCGTCGGCATCGGCAGGGACAGGCCGCGCATCAGCTCCTGCAGCGCGTTGATCAGCCCGCTCCTTGGCCGCTGCGATCGCCGCGGTGATCTGGGCCTTGTCGTCCTACCTGGCCTGGGCGGCGTCGGAGGCGACGGCGGCGCTTGAGGCGGAACTGGCGGCGCCTGCCGTTGGGCCGCTCTCGGCGGGGGCGGCCTCGCGGACCGCCGGGTCGGCGACGGGCCCGGCGCCGGCGGTGCCATCGCCGCTGCGCAACTGCTTGGCTGAGGCCGAGCGGATCTCTTGGACGGTCTTGAGTGTGGCCCGCAGCGTTTCGACCTGTTGGACGTGGGCGTCCATCGGGGCTTTGAGGTCGCAAAGGGACATCTGCTGGCCTTCGTCGTGCTCGCCCAGATCGTCGGTGACGCCAGCCTCCTTGATCGCAAGCAGAATCTTAGTCTTCTTGCCATCGGTGGTGTATCCCTCTGGCGGGGGTGGGGCAGCGGAGCCCTTGCCGACGGACGCGGACAGGGCCTCGATCGCCTTGGCGTTGGCCGCTCGGGCCGCGATAGCGTCCTTGGTGGCCACCAGCACGTTTTCCTTTGCCTTGGCAAAGGCCGCCTCTGTGCCGATCTGTGCTTCAGCGGCCCGACGGGGAGCAGCTTCCTTCTTGTCGATATTCTGCGCGGTGTCGTTGGCCCCTCTGGTGCGGAGTGCGCTGCTTGACTAGGCTGGCTGTGTACATGTTTTCCATCTCCCTGATGGCCTGGACGGAGGATGCGAACGCAGAGTTGGCGGCAAGCAAATTGAGCATGCCACCTGGGTCCACGGGTTGCTCGTCGCTTGCCCACGGAAGCTTCTTCTTGGGCGGAGGGTCACCATCACTTGTCTTGAGGAAATTGATGACGTTGTTGCAATTCGCGCACTTGCCATCACATGCGATGATACGGAAGTTGTGGAGCCAATGTCTACACATCGAACGCACCGAGAAAAAGATGGCTGCGCCCCGTGCCGCGCTGGGTACCGAGCCTAAGTGCTCTGAGCGGCCGCGGAATAACGGCAGCCGTGCTCCGCCACGGGCAAAAACATCTTGAGCCAAAATGGCGGCGGAAGGTACGGGATGGAGCGATAGGGTCAGATGAGGCGCGGGTGCACCTGGCTTTCCCTCCCCCTTTCTCCCCGGTCCCTCCCTCCCTTTTCCTCCTCTTTCGCCTCCTCCTCCTCCTCTTCCACCGCGGCCTGGCGGACGGATGCCGACCTGCAACCAAAGCGGGGATCGGCAACTTACAGCTGCTGGTAGGAGGAGTGTGGCCAACATGATCTCAAGCAACTATAGATGTCAACGGGTCCTCCCAGCCGCGAAGCGACCATACGAAGCCGGAAGCCCTCTAGACATGCCGTTGAACACTGTCCACCCACGGGGAAAACTCCTCCTCCTCCTCCTCATCCTCCTCCTCCTCTTGGTCCTCCTCCTCCTCCTCTTGGTCCTCCTCCTCCTCTTGGTCCTCCTCTTCCTCTTGGTCCTCCTCCTCCTCCTCCTCCTCCTCATCCTCCTCCTCCGCGTCCTCCTCCTCCTCCTCCTCCCTCCTCCTCCTCCTCCTCCTCCTCCTCCTCCTCCGCCTCCCTCCTCCCTTTCTCCTCCTCCTCCTCCTCCTCCCCCTCCTCCTCCTCTGGGGCGGGTCGACGAGGCATGCCGCGCCTTTCCGCGCCGCCCGCAGGGCCGCGTCCCGCGCCCGGGCGGCGGCCTCTGCGGCCTCCGCCTCGCGGGCCGCGTCGCGCGGCTCCCAGCGGTTGGCGGTGGGGTTGTACCTGGGCGCCCCGTCGGCGTTCGGGGGTTGCCAAAGGGGCCTTCTGGCCCAAGGTCCTTGGTACCCCCAGCTTCTCGCTGAATTGTGGAGCCCCGCGGTGTTCTCTGGGCCTCGCGAGGGGGTGCCCTGGAAGCCTTGGGGGTCCCCTCGGGGAAATCCTGGGGGGCACCTTGGGCCAGGGGCACTTCTGGCAAGACCCGGGTCGTGGTCGTCGTCGCTGGCGGCGCCGTTTGGGGGAGGGAAGACCAGCCTAAAAGCATCGAGGGTCGGAACTCCGCGCGGATTTTCTTGGATCGGTGCTGGACCCGCCCGGTGGTGCTTGCGTCGCCGCCCCTGGCGCGATTCGCGCGCTAGGGAGGGGAGCACAGCGCCAGAAGGTATGTCCATACAGCTTCCGTTTCCTCCATTGTTGAAGCAGTCGTGGGTGGTCGCCGCCCTCGTCGGAAACGAGGGGGTCAAGGACCGCTCGCTCCCAGCGTTAGCGATTTCTCTTCGCCAGATGGCGGGGGATAGGGGGGAGGGGGGGGGCAATGAGATGCGAGGGAGGCGGGGAGGGGGGGAGAGCAAGCAGAAGGGAGCAGGGGAGCGGAAGGAAGCACCCCCGTCCCCAATCCTTTCCTCCTTCCTCATCCTGTTCCTCCTGCTCCTTCTCCTCCTCCTCCTCCTCCTCCTCCTCCTCCTCGTCTTCCCCTCCTCCAGCGTGCAGTGCCTCGCCGCCTGCCGATTGCGCGGTAAACGGTGGGCCAGGTCCTGCGCACTGCGATCTGGGGATCAAGGTCCTCCAGAGCACCCAAGTCGGCGGATAGAAAGAATCAACGTAATGGGAATTGATGGGTGGGATGGGTGCCGCGTCAAATGTGGCGCGAGCGAACCTAGCTCGTCCTCCTCCCCAGCGCTTCTCCTCTTTTTCTTCCATCCCCCTTCCCTCCTCCGCGTCATGACACGGCCAGTCCGGATCACTGACAGCATGTAACTGCTCGACGAGAACAAATCCTCCTCCTCTTCCTGGTCCTGGTCCTGGTCCTGGTCCTGGTCCTGGTGCTGGTGCTGGTCCTGGTCCTGGTCCTGGTCCTGGTCCTGGTCCTGGTCCTGGTCCTGGTCCTGGTCCTCGTCCTCGTCCTCGTCCTCGTCCTCCTCCTCCTCCTCCTCCTCCTCCTCCTCCTCCTCCTCCTCCTCCCCCTCGTCGTCGGCGTCGTCGATGTTTTCGTCTTCGTCGTCGTCGTCGTCGATGTCCTCCTCCTCCTCTTCCTCATCCTCTTCCTCCTCGTCCCCCTCCTCTTCCTCCTCCTCCTCCTCGTTCTCCTCCTTATCCTCCTTGTCCTCCTCCTGCTCCTCCGCATCCTACTGCTCCTCCTCTTCGGGGTGGGGGAGGGGGGTCGGGGTGAAAGGTTCGGTAAGTGAGGAGAGGCAATCGGTCCACAGGGGCGGGGTCTCCCAAGAGGAGGCGGTCCAAGGGGGGGGAGGGGCAACAGCGACGACCGAGGCGAGAGACCATATGGAGGCCAACCGACTGTACCTCTCCCAGCGCTCTTGCCCCTGACGCCTCGTCCTCTTCCTACTCTCCATGGCCTGGCAGCTCGATCCACTCGACTGGATGCAGAGGCTACGTAAATACCCAAAGACCCAAGCGCAGGTGGAAGGCGCCTCGCCTCAGCCTTCGCCCTCTGCATCGTCCCTCTCTCTTCTTCCTCCCCCATGCTCACTCCTCGTTCACCTCCTCTGTCTCTTCTTTCTCATCCTCTTCCTCTTCCCCATTATCATTCTCAGTCTCATTATCATGATCCTCCCACTCTCCTTCTCCTCCTCTTTTCTGAAGGGGCCCTAGGACACACAAATAAATACACACACAAATAACAGAGTCCCCTATATTTCATCATATGTTCTGGGTTTTTGTCTTCCCCCCCACCTCCTATATTTTCCTATATTTTCCGGGGAGTCGACGATTAATTCTGTCTGTGTGTTTTTTCCCCTCCTGATTTTCTCCTGCGTGT